AGAGTAAACAAATGTAGTTTCATATTACAATTTAATGTCATTCTAGAAAGAAAAAAAAGAGGGTAATTTAGATTTATTTAGTTCTTTCTTTTTTGGTTGTTATGAGGTTGGTCAAATTGACCAGCCTTGTGTAAAGTTAGAAGAGAGAAAATAACAGATAAAATATAAAGATTTACTGGAAGAAAATGTTTCAGATTTATTTAGGAGGTTTTAGAGATTACACAAATAAAATTTGAGAGTTTTGAGGCGAAGAAAAGTATTTTTAATCTTAACATGAAAATCACTAGTATATAGAAATATTATATATATTCATGGACAAATCTTTAGTAAAAAGACACCAACTTGGTCAGTTTCATCAGGTGCATAACTATTGTATAGAGATAGAGAACACAAAATAATATAGACACCAACTTGGTCAGTTTCATCAGGTGCATAACTATTGTATGGAGATAGTAAACAAAACACAAAATAATATTTAACAAAGCAATTATCTAATAGCTCTATGTATAAACTTATTTATGTTTACTTGATTTTTAATTTCTTCCTACAATTTTTGAAACAATTACTTGAAATTCTGAATAAAGGGTCTATGGTCTATGACAGTTATGTTGGTGTAAAGTTAATAGTTTAGAGAAAACTAATAATCACCAAGGGTGATTGAAGATCCGCAATCCTCCTTCACCCTGAATGAGGTTAAAGATTAAAAGTTCATAGAATGGTCATCATTTTAATTGGGCCAAGTGGGTGGGAAAACAAATTAAAATATATACATACACATATATAAATAAATAAAAATATGCATATATAAATATATATACACACATACATACATGCACTGGTGGTAATATTGGGGCAAGTGGGCAGAAGTTAACGCGAAGACGTAGAAGAGGCAGGTTGTTTTTGCAGAAGAAACAAGTCGAAAACAATTGTTGACAATTTATTGAGATAAACTGAAGCAAATGAGACTTTACAGGGCCTGGTGGGGATCAATGGATCCAAATGCTATGGCTGAGATTTATAGATCCAATGGCTAAGAGTTTGGTGTGGGGGGGGGGGGGCGAGAGTACCCCGAAAAAACCCACTTTCACTAGCCGGGGCCAAAAAAAAGCTTGGCTTGTGCCTGAGTGAACAGCTAGTGAAGAAATGAAGATCTAAAAAGAGACAAAATAAATGGTATTGACTCTTATAGAACATAAAGAAAAATATTTTCAATAGAAACATGAGGGGAACCAAATATGGGGGATCAAAGTTTTATTGGGCTCTCAGAGTTGGTTCAACCAATTTATTTGAAAATTGATATTATCATATAAAGAGCCATTGAAAACAATAATTTAAATTCAGATTTTAGAAATTTTAAAAATTTGCCCTCCTCCATATGGGGATTTATTCTCTGACTATAGGCTTGGTCCTACGGACCGACCTCGTAACCACTCCATATGGGGATTTACTCTCTCACTATGGGCTTGGTCCTACGGACCGACCTCGTAACCACTCTATATGGGGATTTACTCTCTCACTATGGGCTTGATCCTACAGACCGACCTCGTAACCACTCCATATGGGGATTTACTCTCTCACTATGGGCTTGGTCCTACAGACCGACCTTGTAACCATTCCTAATAACCTACAGATAATTATCAAACATTTGTTTTGAAAAATCTTTATATTTTTCTGTTATTTTGACTATTGTATCTCTGTATGTGTTTGATTGATTTGACCGACCTCGTAACCACCATAAAAAATTAAGAAATAAATATAAATTACACTTTTTTCATTCTAGAATGACTAGAGATTATAACACTAATCCACAAATGTTGAGTTTAAATAGCTTAAATATCATAACATTATACACCTATATATACATTTATTATTAATATTTTATTGATCTTTCAGCTGTGTCTGACTAACATTACAGAAGTTGCAATGACACAGTGCACGTGCACTCATGTTACCGCATTCAATAATATAAAACTGGCATTTACATATTATTATTACTTACAAATAAGCTCTTAAATTTCAGTTATTTTTCTTAAAACATATAACAGTAATTGAAAAAATATAGTAAACAATGATCTCTACTACTTACGATTGTAATGAAGTTTGTACTCACTTGCCGTACCTGGCATGCTAAGCCTTGCCAAATTTTGGAAGTGAAGGATGTGAAATGAAATAATTTTGTTGTTTTATATATGCATTTTGAATTAGTAAAAAATATTACTCTACCAATATCACAGAATTACACTGTAATTTAACAGGCTTACTAATTAAACTGTATTTGTGTCTAAATAAATATTGTTTTTTGAACAACACTTTCACTTAACGTTCCTTCCAAGATTGGAGACAAAAGAAATAATCTTGAGAAATTCCCACCTTCAAGATGCTGCGAAAACAATGTGGGTTAAATTCTGAGCTTTTGATTGGTTATAAACACATGACAGAGTGAATTGGGTGTACGTAAGCATTTCCAAAAAATGGGAGAGGTAGGCGGGGGCACTGTGCTTGATTCAGTAAATGTAGCAATATCTCAGCAAATAGAAAAGATAGAAGGGTCTTATTTTATATTCTAGCTTGTTAATATAGTTAATTTGAGTTCCTAATTCATAACAAACTATAGACTTTGTATTTGGACATCACAAACATCTAATCTGAACCAAAGCTGTATTCAACATAGTACATGACAACACAAAAATTGATATTTAGGAATTTTCTTTTTAATATTTACTTTTAAATTAAGTAATGTATAATACTAAAACTTGAATTATATTCTATAATTTAATACCAAACTTACTGACATACATTCATAAAATAGTAGTTCAATAACATTTTGAATGTAAGCCTACAAGTGTTGACATGCCCTTTGACCCCTGACCATAGAAAAAACCTGTTGTGATAAGCTTAAGGGGTTTAGGGGGCAAACAAAACTGGCATAAAATATGTAAAAAAGTCATTCAAAACAAGTTGTGCAACATTTTTTTGCTATTGTTTTTTTTCAATAATATTCATGGATAATGTGATATATATATATTAATAGAAGAAAATATATAAAAAATTCCTAATATTCAAAAATATATAATGAGTGAACTGTAATACAATGGGTAGTGACTGCCTCAGAAAAGTTTCTTTATGGTTTCAGAAGTCACCAACCATTGTATCACATTTTATTCATTATGAATATAATGCCTAGATCATCTATTAATTCTTTCAGAATGAAGTTGGTCCAATAGACCAACCTTGTAACCACTTTTGTACTTATTATAGTTTCCATACTATAATTTCTAACACATTTGGTGTATTTCCACAAAATTTGGCAAACTTTTAGTAAACATTAAAAATTATATTATTTTGTGTTTTCTATCTCTATACAATAGTTATGCACCTGATGAAACTGACCAAGTTGGTGTCTATGTTATTTTATGTTTTATTTTCTATCTCGTTTTTGAGGGCAAAAGTACATATTACTTATTACATTGAAGTTGGTAACGAAACTTAAAAAAATTAGTAACTGCTTTTCACAATTATTTGATTCCTATTCTGTATATGTAATCAAACTGTTATAAATATAAAAACAAAAACTTTAAGTTTCTCCATTGCATTCAACCACTATATAATCTGGTTGTCAAGATGTCTTTCATTTATAACTCACCTACCACGTCCAGTATGATAACCTACAGATTGTATTGCGCAACCAGGATGTTGGTGGAGAGAGTGACGAGACGTGACTAATCCTACAGATATGCTACTACCAACACCCATGTCAAGGATCTCCACCTCAAAGTAGCTATTGTCTGGGCTAAGAGGTTCAGCAGCAACATAGACACCAACTTGGTCGGTTTCATCAGGTGCATAACTATTGTACAGAGATAGAGAACACAAAATAATATAGACACCGAGTTGGTCGGTTTCATCAGGTGCATAATTATTGTACAGAGATAGAAAACAGAATAATATAGACATCAACTTGGTCGGTTTCATCACATGCATAACTATTGTACAGAGATAGAGAACACAAAATAATATAGACACCAACTTGGTCAGTCTCATCAGGTACATAACTTTTGTTTAGAGATAGAAAACAAAACATAAAATAATATAGACACCAACTTGGTCAGTTTCATCAGGTGCATAACTATTGTATAAAAACAGTGACACAACATTAGACACGAATGATTTATTACAATTTGTTTCTTTCCTTATCTGATGTTTATCAAAATAGTAACATTTCAGTAACTTATAACTTGTGAATGTTTTTGTAACTGAATTATGCTTAAAATGAACCCTTAATCGTGTTAAATAGATATACGTTAAACATCTAAAC